GCTACGGCGTGTGCACCGGGCCTGGCGCCCAGGGCGAGTACAGCGGCTGCTGGGCGCACGGCTTCGAATCATTGGGCGTCTTCACCGGGCCCGGCGGACACAGCTACCAGGGCCACTGGCAACAGGGCAAGCGCGAAGGGCTGGGCGTGGAGCGCAAGAGCCGCTGGACGTACCGCGGCGAGTGGCTGGGCGGGCTGAAGGGGCGCAGCGGCGTGTGGGAGAGCGTGTCCGGCCTGCGCTACGCCGGGCTCTGGAAGGACGGCTTCCAGGACGGCTACGGCACCGAGACCTACTCCGACGGAGGTGCGGGGCCCGGCCCACTACTGTCTGTCTGCTCATCCGCTTGCGCCTCCCGCCGGTCTGCCCTGCGTGTGCCTTCCCCAGCCATATGCCCTCCACGCCCTGCTATTCCCCATACGCCTTCCCTAGCCATATGCGCCCCCTGTGCCCATCCTTCTGTTCCTCATGTTCCCGTCTGTCCCTCATACCATGCCCGGTCCTATGACCCCAACCCCATCTTATTGCCTCGTTCACCACCAACCAAAATCATATCTTTCTCATTTTTCTCCTGCCTGCTTCACCTTCAGCAATTGGTCTATCCCTCACACCTTCCCTCTACCTGACGGTCTCTAAAATCGCTGCCAGTTTGCTCACGTTTTCATCCCTGGCAGTCCTGTTTGCCTGTCAAATGCCTATTTTATACCCCACCCCCCATCAACCTGTCCCTCACCCTCTGAGCTTGGGTCGCCCGCCAGTCTTTCACACACTCTCAGCTTGCCTGTCCCTCTCCTTTCGCCCTGTCTACCCACAATACCAAAATTCACATTATCTCCTGCTTCTGCCAGTTTTCCTTCTGCCTTCCACACCCGTAGCCCTTAATGCTCTTCCCAGGCCTCCATGCCATCTGCCTCCACCTCTCCCACCTGACACTTGGACATTCAGGGACTTTTCGGGGCGTGGGGTGGAAGGAGCGTAGCGGCGGGTTCTGACTTTCTCCCAAACTTACTCCGCCCGCAGGCACCTACCAGGGCCAGTGGCAGTCTGGGAAGCGCCACGGCTACGGGGTACGACAGAGTGTGCCCTACCATCAGGCGGCGCTGCTGCGCTCGCCCCGCCGCACCTCCCTGGACTCCGGCCACAGCGACCCCCCGACGCCGCCCCCACCCCTGCCCCTACCAGGCGACGAGGGAGGCAGCCCAGCCTCGGGCTCCCGGGGTGGCTTCGTGCTGGCCGGGCCAGGGGACACCGACGGCGCGTCCTCCCGAAAGCGCACACCTGCGACTGGTGGATTCTTCCGCCGATCACTGCTGCTCAGTGGGCTCCGGGCGGGCGGGCGGCGCAGCTCCCTGGGCAGCAAGCGGGGTTCCCTACGAAGCGAAGTGAGCAGCGAGGTGGGCAGCACAGGACCCCCAGGCTCCGAGGCCAGTGGGCCCCCAGTCCCAGCACCTCCTGCCCTCATCGAGGGCTCGGCCACTGAAGTGTACGCAGGCGAGTGGCGTGCTGACCGGCGCAGCGGCTATGGCGTGAGCCAACGCTCCAACGGGCTGCGCTACGAGGGCGAGTGGCTGGGTAACCGGCGGCACGGCTACGGGCGTACCACCCGCCCCGACGGCTCCCGTGAGGAGGGCAAGTACAAGCGCAATCGGCTGGTGCACGGGGGCCGTGTTCGCAGCCTCCTGCCTCTGGCCCTGCGGCGGGGCAAAGTCAAGGAGAAGGTGGACAGGGCTGTTGAGGGCGCCCGTCGAGCCGTGAGTGCTGCCCGCCAGCGTCAGGAGATCGCCGCTGCCAGGTGGGTGTCCAGTGCAGAAACCAATGCTGGGCTAAAAGAAGAGGTTTCTAGGGCTGGGGATATAGCTCAGTTGTTAGAGTGCTTGCCTCACATGGACAAGGCCCTGGGTTCAATCCTCAGCACCACAAAGAGAAGAAGAGGGTGCTGTGAGCTCAGGGAGAAGGGAAGAGACGCCTATAGGAGGGCCAAGACCCAAGGCCTAGAACCTGTTGGAAAAAGCAAGCTAAAGGTTAGGCAGCTGTAGGTCTGGGATTTGGGGTGTTTGTATTTGAGGCTACAGGTGGATGTGGGTGTAACTGTAGGTGGCTGGGTATTTGAGGGAGGTGGTGTAAGACTGTAAGTGTGTCTTGGTGTCTTTTGTGTGGAGATGTGTATCTATGGAATCCATTGCTGTGTGTGGGAGTAGGATAAGCGCAGCTTTGTGCAGGCCCACAAGCCTCTTGGAACTCAGATACTCCCTAATCTTCCTCTAGCAGCCCTTCCAGCCTTCAGGCCTCAGGCTGGGAGCATGAGCCATAGGCAGAACAGGGAGTAGTCCCTTCCTGACTGGTCCTAGCTAGACACCATTTTACCTTTGGGCCTTGGATAGGTCTAGTTTGTACAGCTGGTCTATCAGCTGAAAAGCTAGTCTCTCCCAGCTTAGCCTCCTCCACCTCCTCTTACCCAACTGGTAAAGGTTTGGGGGGAAATTTTCTTTCTGTAAATCAGATTACATTTCCATACATCAGGAACCTTGCTATGTAAAGCAGCACAGTCCAATAAGAATATAATGCAAGCCACTTAAAATCTTTTAGCAGATACATTAAAAACAAAAAGAAACAGGTGAAAAGAATTTTAATAATATATTTGAATCTAAATCAATATAGCCAAAATATAATTTCAAATAATAATCAATATAAACTTACTGAGATATTGGACTTAGTCTTTGAAATCTAGAGTGTATTTTATACTTGTAGCACAACATTTTGATTCAGATTAGCCACATATCAAGTATCCAATAGTCATTTATGACTAGTGACTTAGCAAAGATATGAAGAAAGCCAAAAAGCAGCTGGGCTGGGTGGTCCACGATGATAATCCCAGCAACTGGGGAGGCTAAGGCAAAAGAACCACAAGTTTAAGACCACCCAGACAACTTAATGAGACCTTGTCTCAAAAAATAGAAAGGACTGGAGGTGTAGCTCAGTGATAGAGTACCCCTGAGTTCAATCTCTAGTACCACAAAAAAATAAATATATTTTAAAAATAAAGCCAAAAATCATTTTGTAGCAAGATATACAGGCTTCTGATTTATAGAACTTACATAGTTGAATTTTTATATATTGAATTTTCTTTTAAATGGGTGGGGATATAGAGAGGGATTTTGTTGAAATTTGAAACTATTTCAGAAGGTCAACAATCAGGATATCTCCAAATATGCTTCAGTGAATTTGTATAATGGGTGACAGGTTGTGTGTGTGTGTGTGTGTGTGTGTGTGTGTGCGTGTATGAGCGCGTGCGCGCGCATGCTTGAGTAGAAACATGTCAAATACCGAACAGATGCCTGAGCCAGAGAATGTGCATCTGTAGATGTATCTGAGTGTCTAGATGTTAGAATTCAGGGCCTGAAGCCAGAAAAGGGGGAGGGCAGAGCACCAGGGAACATTTTGGGCTAGATAGGGTGGAGGCATGTGCAGGGAAAAAAAAAACTGATCTCAGTAACTACAGGATTAGGCAGTGGGAGGAGGCTGGTTGGTCTCCCCAGCAACAGGCCTAGCATCCCTGATTGGCTGCTGGCTGCCATGGAAACATCAGAGCCTCAGCAGCAGGTGCCTCTGACAGGTAGCCTGAGCCCAACCTGATGCCTCAGTAGACACTTAGACTTGATTATCCATGCCCTCCATATACAAAAACACAGGTCCTTGTCAGTTTTGTGGCCATCAATAGAACTCAGTGCAACCCAAGACTATGCTCCTCATACCTTATTCCAAACCCCGAGACAAGCTCAGCTTCAGGACAAATTTAGTCATATACAGTCTAAAAGCCCTAACACAAAAGACAGGGTTGTCTGAATCCCTCCAAGTAGACTGCAAAGATCCTTGATTCGCCAGGTTTAAAGGAAGGAGACTGGCCATATATCCCAAAGTAGATAAATAAGAGGTAAAGACTAAGACTACAGTGGATGTCACCATCCCCCATACCCAGGTTGCCTTTCTAAGCCAGAGAAAATAGGCCTATCGTAAACAAGAGTCATGGTCTTGATCTGTTTGAGCCCATGGCAAGTACAGCTGATTACCTCCATCTCTGCCCCTTTGTGCCTCGCCTTAAGATTACCAAACTAATTTTGTGATTACAAGGCATCTACAATTAATAGCAGACAGTGAAAAGGAAGGGGAACTTGAAGAAACATCTACACTAGAGGGAAAACTGAGAAACAACAGTGGGGCAAGGATTAATAATGCTTCAAGGTGGCCAGTACCTAGGGACCAGGCTGGGATGGAGTATGGAAGGGAGACTAAGCTTACCCAGAAAGTATAATTGCCATTGTGAAAAAATATGCATATTGGCAGGAGAAGGGATGTGATCATAGCAGAAAGGGGAGACACACCCTTATTCTGGTTCCAAAGCTGAGAGGCAGGGCAGGGGGAGAGTGGCATTGACAGAAAGGGAAGACATTGTGATTTAAAAAAAAAAAAAAGAGGCTAAAGAAAAGCAAGATGGAAAATTCTCATGCCAGGAACTCTGCACTGGAAGAGGATGAAATAATAAGGAGGTCTGACGGTGGGAAGGGGATTCAAGGCAAAGGGAAGGGGTGGCTGGGAACAAATTGTCACACACCAGGAGGTATGAGAGGAGTTGATAACAACAGGAGGTACAAACTGCCAAGAGGGCATTAGGCTAGTTGGTAAGCACCAAACAGGACTGCAGAGGATGTGTAAGAAAGGGAAGGCTCAATTGTCACTGGGGTAGGGAGCAAGAGAGAGATGGGATAACAGAGTTTGGGGAGGGCCAGGCCCCTGCAGCTGGAAGGAGGAAGTGTTACTACAGGACACAAGGATAGAAGGGTGTGAGAGGAGCAGGAGAGTGTGATAACAGCAAACACCACAGAGCCAGGAGAGGAAACCAAAGCAGGAAGCTGCCCTGACCTGCCCAAGAAGGGGAGCAGCTGGCAGTAAGAGGAAGGGTGAAACTCCCGAGGGGAGGTCGAATGAGGATGTGATATGGTGGGGACATGATGAGGTGGGTGGAGAATCTGAGCAGGGGCTAATTTGAAGTGGAAAAGGCCTGCTAAGTCCCCATCCCTGGGACCCGACAGGGCAGCAGATGCCCTCCTAAAGGCAGTGGCAGCCAGCAGTGTCGCAGAGAAGGCTGTGGAGGCAGCGCGGATGGCGAAACTGATAGCCCAGGACCTTCAACCCATGCTGGAGGCCCCAGGTGAGAAGTGCGCATCCTCAAGGAGGGGAAAGAGCCCTTTGGGGGAGCTAGAGAGGCTCAGATATGGGAAAAGGGGGTGGGAAGCCCACAGGATCTGGGAATGGGAAAGCCAAAGTACAAGCCAGGGGCATAGATGATAGGGACCAGGCCCATTTGATGGGGAGTGGGATTGGGAATTTATGAGGTACAGTAACGAGAGGTTTGGGATCCAGTGGTGAGAAGCTAAGAGCCTGGGGATATCAATGTCCCAGGAAGTGCCAGCCAGGGGCTCCAACCAATAGCCAGTTAGACTCCACTGATTCTCAGCTATCCCTGCCCAGGTCGCAGACCCAGGCAGGATTCGGAAGGTTCCGACACAGAGCCCTTGGATGAGGACAGCCCTGGGGTGTGTGAGAATGGACTGACCCCTTCAGAAGGCTCTCCTGAGCTGCCCAGCAGTCCTGCCTCCTCCCGCCAACCCTGGCGACACCCTGCCTGCCAGAGCCCACTGCCTCCTAGAGGGGACTGGGGTCCCTTCTCCAGCCCCAAAGCTTGGCCTGAGGAATGGGGGGGGCCAGGTGAGCAGGCAGAGGAACTGGCTGGTTATGAGGCTGAGGATGAGGCTGGGATGCAGGGCCCAGGGCCCAGAGACGGTTCACCGCTCCTCGGAGGCTGCAGTGACAGTTCAGGAAGCCTTCGAGAGGAAGAGGGGGAAGATGAAGAGCCCATGCCCCAGCTGAGGGCCCCAGGAGGCTCGGAGCCTGACCCTGTTACCATGCCGGTCCTGAGGGGCCCATCTTCGAGGGGTCCTGATGCCGGGTGCCTGATGGAAGAGTTTGAAGAGCCTGCTGCGACTGACAGGCCTGCCCAGCGGGTGAGACATCCTCTGTTCCCACCCACTTAATGCCCTCTTCTTTTTAAAGCTTTGTCTTGTCCCACCCCTTTCCAGACCTCTGTCTGATTCCCTGAGGGGTTTTGATTTCAACTCGCCTTTCTTTCTGCCTAGCCAGTCTTGGACCATATCTCACCTCAAAAAAAAAAAAAAAATAGGTAACTTTCAGTCAGGTGGGGCGACACACTTGTAATCCCAGTAGCTCAGGAGGCTGAGCCAGGCTCTCGAGGATCTCGAGTTCAAAGCCAGCCTCAGCAATGGCAAGGTGCTTAGCAATTCAGTGAGACCCTGTCTCTAAATAAAATACAAAATAGGGCTGGGGATGTGGCTCAATGGTCGAGTGTCCTGAGTTCAGTCCCGGGTAACAAAAAAAAAAAAAAAAATGGTAACTTTCAAGCAGATAAGAGCCTCAGAGACCTTTAAGTCGAACTCCCTCATTTGACAATTGGGGGAACTGAGGCCCAGAACACTTAAAGTAACTTCCAAGGGTTACAAACTAATAATTAATGGTAGAACCAGAACATTTTTTCCTGTTCTCCTTCCATATCATTTCCAGCTCCCAGTTTCCTACTCCACCCCCAGCCCCACCTCCGCACTTTCTCTCTTTGGTGCCCAGAAATAAAAAAAGAAAAAATTGTTCCCTCCCTACCCTCATTCTCCCTCCCTCTCCTGGGAAGAAGGGAAATAGGAAAAAAAAAAAAAAAAAAGCAAAAAACTGGGAGAGGTGGAGTTTCCCCAGAACCCTCTGCTCTGATTGGATTCCAGGCCTTCTCCTGTTTCCTAGCAACCACATCCTCACCCCTTCATCCCTTTGCCCTACTGCAGTACTGGCTGCTACTGCCAATTTCTGCTACTAAGGCCAGGCACCTTCTGCCTGGGCCATATGATATACTGGTGGGAGGGGAGGGGAGGAGAGGGAGGAGGGGGCGGGGCTGTTCCTGTCTCAAGAGTGCCAGAGCAAAGGTGGGGCCCTGCCTGGGAGAAGAAGGGTGTTTTGCAACACAAGACACAAAGGCTAGACATCCCCATGCTCCGCCCTGTGTAGGGAGGTGGCTGGGACCCTTGGCTTTGCCACCTGAAGGGAGGGCAGGGAGGTGGGATCAACACTGGACTTGGTATTCAGGGACTGAGCTTGCTTCCTGCTCTGTCTCTCTAGGGAGCTGCCAACCCCCTGGTGGTGGGAGCCATAGCCCTCCTGGACCTCAGCCTGGCGTTCCTGTTCTCCCAGCTCCTCACCTGAGGCTACTTCCTGGCCAAGCTCTGGCTTTGGTTGCCTGCCTCTTCACCCCTTTGACCTGCCTTTTTCTCTTTTCCTCCCCCTAGTTGTTTTTGTTCCTATATTTCCTTCTCCTTTTCCTTTCTCTTCTGTCCTACTTTATTTTTGTTTCTTGCTTTTTCCTTCCCTCTCTTCTTTCAGCGTATCTCATTTACTCTAGATCTGTGTCTGTCTTCCTCACTCCCTTCCCCACCTCAACCTCCTCTTTCTCTAGATTGTTTACATATGAAGGGCTTTTCTCTCTCAGAGTTGCCGTCTTCTCTGAGACACATAAATCTAAGTCAGACCATTGCCCCTACACCCTTTCCACCTTTTCTTTAAACCTAAATTTCACCAAGGGTGGGGGTTTGGTGTCCTGAGGAGTCTCCCAAAAGCTGAGCGCATAGGAGGAAAGCAATGGAGAAGGGAGTGATTAAATGCTGGACAGGGTGCTGGCTGAGCCACTGTGGCTTCCTGGCCCAAGCTGAAAAGGCTGAAGGAGGTGCCACCTCCACTTGTCACCTTGGAGGACAGTGTCTCCCCTCCCAGCACCCAGTTAGGTTCTTGGCTCACTGATCCTTCCCAGAGGGAGAAAAAGGAAAGTGAACAATAGAATAACTCCCTAGATCTCCCTCTTTCTTTCCTCAACAGCCAGTCTATCTTCCAACCCCCTGTAATGGCATGCCATGCCATGCCATGCCATGCCAAGAACAATGTGTAAAGGAACAAAAACTATCCAATGCAGCCAAGCCCACCCCCTCAGACCTTACCACTACCCTCTCTACCCTTATGTGTTCCCCTAAAAGTTTATTTGGTTGGTCTGGACTCACTTGTGGCCTTTGATTAAATTCCTAAGGGGCCTAAAAGAAGACACTTCTACTGCAGAGTGCTAGAGGCATTTGAGCAAGGATACCACTCCCCAACTCTGACAGTTGTGGTGGGGGGGAGGCACTTCTGGGGGATGGAAACAAGAGCTCACAGGGCAGTAGAAGCTGTGACAGTCTAGTAGGCCCCGTGGGTTTTGTCCCTTCCCCCATCACATCAGAATCTCCTGAAATGAGAAAACAACAGAAGGAGGGGATCCAAGGAAGCTGATCTCCCACACTTCCCAGGCAGGGCAGAGGTGGGAGTCAAATCCAGGGTGAGAGGTGGGTGGAGAGACCTGTTTGAGGTTGTGGCTGATCCCTGGTACTAGCTTTCCCCCTGGGGGTAGGAAGCCCTAGGAAGAGGGGAATATGGGGTCCCCAGGGGATTTTTCCTCCCTCCCCTGCATGAGGCAGAGACAAGCTGCCTGCCAACCCCCTCCCTTGAGAAATGGCCTTGCCCGGGAATGCCCACCACATATACCCTCTTCTTTTTTCTAGTCAAACTCTGTTTACTCCTTGGCCTGCCTCCCTCCTTCCTCCCCTCTCAACCTTTACTTCTGATTTCTATTTCATGGAATTTGGGATTGAAGTTATACAACAGTGCCGCCAACACCAAGTCTTGCAGGAAAAAAATACAAAGAAATTTAACAAAAAAAATATATTAATAAAAAAGTTCAAAAAAGGGGGGGGATTGTCATCTCCTTTGGGGTGCGATGGCTGCAAACCCAAACTCTCCGAGGCTCTCAGGGTGGTGAGAGGTAGAAGGAAGCCTCTTGGGGAACCGCGGCCCAGCTTATTGCCTAGCTGTCCTAGCTGGTAAGAGCTCCTTCCCCTACACGCCCAGGTCAGAGCACTCCACAAGGCTCTCGGGCGGCCCAGGAGGGCGGGGTCCTGTGGTGGAGGCGGGGAGAGGGAAGGACCCGACCAGGCACCAACCCCGGTTCAGCCCTATACCAGGAAGCGTCTAGGGGGGAGAGGAGGACAATTGACTGAAGGCAGGTGAGGCTGGCGTCCTGGGGCGGGGAAGCTGAAGCCGCCAGAGATGGGAATGCAGGAAGGAATCTCGCGAAAAAAACAACAGTGCAGGACCCTGAATGGAAAGAAATGGCCAAGCTAGGAATGGCATACCAGATGGACTAGAAAAAGGGGAGATGGGCGGGGCTCTGGCGCATGCTCCGTAGGAACAGGTGCGGGGTGGGGCAGGGACGCATGCGTAGTGGGGAATCTCCTTAGGCGGCGCGATGGGGGTGGACTTTAGGGACCCAGGTGGGGAAAGGTAACAGGAGTAAGGTTTAGGATAGATGTAAAACCCAGGCCATTAGGATCTTGGAGCAGGGCAAACCTGGCTGCCGGCTAGAAAATATTAAAGACTTCCCCACTCCCGGGCTCTGCCCCCCAGGATGGTGGTGCCCTTGCTGAAGCTTCAGGACCTAATCGAGGAGATTCGCAGAGCCAAGACTCAGGCCCAGGAGCGGGAGGTGATCCAAAAGGAATGCGCCCACATCCGGGCCTCCTTCCGAGATGGGGACCCTCTGCAGAGGCACCGCCAGCTGGCCAAACTGCTCTATGTCCACATGTTGGGCTACCCTGCCCACTTTGGACAGGTATATCTGCCTCCAGAGTTTGAAGAGGAAAGCTGTTGGGACAGGGTCGTGGATCTCTTCATTTATTTGTGCCCCGACTGTTTTCATTCTCTGGTTTCTGAATCATCTCACCATGCACTGGAAAAAACTTTTCCCATTACCCCACTAGTCCTCAGCTGGGGTGAACCCTTCATTCTCTGGCTAACCCATTCAGGGCACCTCCTCTTCTTTTCTTCCAGCCTCCTCCACTCCTAAGTTCTTTAATCTGCACACTAATGCCTGACCCTCCTAAGCCTCTTTGGTTGAAGAGAGGATGATGGGATATGATGCCCCAAAAGTTAATCTAATGATAAGAAAAGCCCAGCTGAACATATAGATATGTGTGCCACTGGCAGAGAGGTGAAAGAGTAGCATGGAACCCTCTTGTTTCACCCCTGCCCTTCGGATCTGCCCTCTTCCCTATAGATGGAATGCCTGAAACTGATTGCATCCCCCAGATTCACAGACAAGAGGGTAGGCTACCTGGGGGCCATGCTTCTATTGGATGAGAGGCACGATGCCCACCTGCTCATTACCAACAGCATCAAGAAGTGAGAAGTTCTGGGGGAACTGCAAATCAGGGAGATGGGAGAGTGGGGAACTGGTAAATTCCAGGGTGCTGCCTGATGTAGTTACTGCGAAGAACTGGTTTCCTCAGAGGCTTGACTAATCATCCTCCCAACCCTGCAGTGACTTGAGTCAGGGGATTCAGCCGGTACAAGGCCTGGCTTTGTGCACTCTGAGCACCATGGGTTCTGCTGAGATGTGCCGGGACCTGGCCACCGAGGTGGAGAAGCTGCTCCTGCAGCCCAGCCCCTATGTGCGCAAGAAGGTGAGATGAAGAATTTAGCACTTGCCCCTTCAGAAACTGTCCCTCATCTGCCATGCAGTAGAAGTGTGTGTGTGTGTGTGTGTGTGTGTGTGTGTGTGTGTGTGTGTTTGTGTGTAGATTCCATCCTTGTAGATACTTGCCTATCTGAGGCCCCTGACCTCCACAGGCTATTCCTACTGCGGTACACATGATCCGGAAGGTCCCTGAGCTCTCTGACATCTTCCTCCCACCTTGTGCCAAACTGCTTCATGAGCGCCACCATGGTAAGGCCAAAAGGCTCCCCATCCTCTGTGTCTGGTCTGGCTATGAATGGAAATGAAAAACAGGAGAGAAACACCAGTTCATAGAGCAATAGTCGTGCATACACACAGACATGCTCACAGTAGATTCTCTCATGCCCTGACCCCAGGCATCCTGCTGGGCACCATCACGCTGATCATGGAGCTCTGCGAACGAAACCCTGCAGCCCTCAGGCATTTTCGTAAGGTGGGCTGTGAAGGGGTAGGCCCTGGCCCTGGCAAAGAGGGGCAGTGGGGGCAGAATGGGGCTAAAGCTGAGAGTACAAGGATAAGGACGAAATGCACAGACAACATTGTGCCCTCCCTCCAGGTAGTACCCCAGCTGGTGCAGATCCTCCGGATGCTGGTGACAACAGGATACTCCACAGAGCACAGCATATCTGGAGTCAGTGACCCCTTCCTGCAGGTGGGCTGACCTTTCCTTCATGTATCCCTAGAGGAAAGAAGGCTTAGCAGTGAGATTCCTGGCTTAGTATACTCTGGCTTAGTCACTGCCTTGGGCAAGAGGGTAGTAGACTGATTGCCCTGGTCATTCCAGGACAAAGACAGGGAGAGGATATAACTGAAGGTCAGAAATCCAGTTTGGTAATAACAACAACAAAAAGCCTGTCCTGAACTCCCTTGGCTTCATACACCTCTGATCCCCTCCCAGGGCCACCAGGACCTATGGAGGTGATGAAGGATGGGAGGCTCTAGGGTCTAACCAGATGCCTTACAATGAATGCTGTCCTCAGTGTTGGATTTTTCTCCTTAGCCCCACAAGTCCTTATCCTGTGAATCTCTCCATCTTTCAATCTTTAACCCAACCACAGGTCCAGATCCTTCGTCTGCTTCGGATCCTGGGCCGGAACCATGAGGAAAGCAGTGAGACCATGAATGACTTGCTAGCACAGGTGTGGGTTGGGGGGACATTGCTTAGGTATGTTGCTCTGGGATCTACCAGTCCTGGGCATCCGTTACAGGATTACTCACCATGTAGCAGCTATGTAATCACTCCTCTATCCCCTCTAGCCAATGAACTACACGAAGGAGGGACACAATATGTTGCAGTATTAATGTCCCAGTGCCCAAGCTGGTCCAGGCACATAGTGGGGTTTGGGAAACTTTGTTGGCTGGTTGAGGAATGGATGGATAGTGGAGAGCTTCCAGAGATCCTAGTGAGGAGAGAGGCCTTTGTGGATGTATCTCCTCTCCCATTCACTCAGGTAGCCACCAACACAGACACCAGTCGAAATGCAGGCAACGCGGTCCTATTTGAGACAGTGCTTACCATCATGGACATCCGCTCTGCAGCCGGCCTACGGGTATTTTCCCATATGCTCTCCCACTGTGGCCTACCCTCCACTCCCAGCCAGCCAGCAGGGCTCTGTTCACTGGCCTTTCCCCAACACCTGTCATCCTGTGTCATATGGTCCCCACTCTTGAGTGAATAGACTGCTACTGCCTGAGTGCCCACCCTCTTTCTCCCACAGGTTCTAGCTGTCAACATTCTTGGCCGCTTCCTGCTCAACAGTGATAAGAACATTAGGTAATGACTTGTGTGTAGCTATACTCTGCCACTGAGCCCTGACCCTCTGTACTCTTCCCTCCAGAACCTCCTGATCCACTTACCTCTAACCCCTGTACCCAGGGCAAGGCTAATGGCCACAGCATGATAGGGCCTTTCCCACCCTGACCAGGTATGTAGCCCTGACGTCCTTACTACGCCTGGTGCAGTCTGATCACAATGCTGTGCAGCGGCATCGGCCCACTGTGGTGGAATGTCTGCGAGAAACTGATGCCTCCCTCAGCCGGTGAGCATAAAGGGAACAAGAGGACAGGGTAGAGGATACAATGACTAGTGGCTAAGACCCAAACCAGCTCAGAGCAGCTGGAGTAAGAGGACTGTAGGAGCAGATCCTAGGGATGGGGCAGGCCAGAGGCATGGAGTTGGGTGATCTGGGCCACCTGCATGGACACTTTTCTCCTGCCAGGAGAGCCCTGGAACTGAGCCTGGCTCTGGTGAATAGCTCCAATGTGCGAGCCATGACACAGGAGTTGCAGGCCTTTCTGGAGTCCAGCCCCCTCGATTTACGGGCTGATTGTGCCTCAGGCATCCTGCTGGCTGCAGAGAGGTGAGGGGACAGGTTCTCAGAAATGGAGAGGGTACAGTCTGGGGAGGGACAGGGACAGTGCCAGGACTGATAAGCCATGTCCCTAGGTTTGCTCCAACCAAGCGATGGCACATAGACACCATCCTTCACGTGCTGATAACGGTGAGATGGGCTAGTTGGAGAGTTGGGCAGTAGTGGACAGAGTTAATCACACTGACTTGACAATGTCCACCCTTTCCAGGCAGGAGCCCATGTGCGGGATGATGCAGTGGCCAACCTGACGCAGTTGATTGGGGGTGCCCAGGAGCTACATGCCTACTCTGTGTGCCGACTCTATAGTGCCCTGGCAGAAGACATCTCCCAGGTGCCATTCCCACCTCCCCAAGCCCAGGGCTGCCTCCTATCTCTTTCTGGGCTTCCCTTCTTCACTGGACTCTGAACCGTTTTCCTCTTAGGCTCACAGCTATCTACTTAGCGCAGGAGATCCTTAAGAACAGAGCTTGCCTTTTAGAACACTTGAGCTGCTGTTCTGGCCCTGGTACCTACTGGCTATGTAATCCCAGATGACTAATTTAACTTCCTTTAGGCTCCATGTACTCAGTTTTCTACCCTATCTCCCAGGGATGTTTTTATAATCAAACGAGATAGATACAAGTTTTATGCATATATTATACTTTATTATTATTTCAAATGCTGAATGCCAAAGGTGCCACCCAATACTAAACTGCCCCTTTTAAATTTTTTTTTAGTTATACATGACAGTAGAATGTATTTTTATATATTCACGGCATACTTTCCATTTTCCTCTTAAGTAGGATGAGCAGAAACCATCACCCTGCTCTTCCTCAAGGGTGGGACCCTCTCACAGTTCCATCAAGTGGCCAGGCCATGTACTTCTGAATCTAGGCCACCAGAGGGCAGTGGGAGCCCAGACATCAGGACAGAAACTGCTCACAAATTTCCTTCCCTGCCCCACCATATTTGTGCTGCATAAGGGGATGTTTCAGAGTGTGGAAGAGAGGAGGGAACCCCAAACACTGACCTAGATGTGATTCTCCCATACAGCAGCCACTGGTGCAAGTGGCAGCCTGGTGCATTGGAGAGTATGGGGACCTCCTGCTGGAGGGGAGCTGTGAAGAAGTAGAACCCCTTCAGGTAAGGCCTACATAGTGGACACACTAAGGGTGGACTTGTCAAGGGAGATAGGGTTAGATCCTAGGTCACTACTTGTACCCACACCTGAAGGTGGAAGAAGAGGAGGTGTTGGCACTCCTAGAAAAGGTGCTGCAGTCCCAAATGTCCCTGCCAGCCACCAGAGGATATGCACTCACAGCCCTCATGAAGCTCAGCACCCGGCTTCGAGGGGACAACAAGTAAGAAGAGGTCTCAGCCCAGAGAAAAACGTCTCCTCACTTGCATACCATTTCTAAGCTCTCCAGATAGCTGCACTATCCCTCGCCACTCTTATCCCCCAATCTTGGGACTTGCTTTAGAGCTACATATCTTGGGACTTGCTTTAGTGTCTCCTCACTCTGTGGGACCGCTCCCTTCTCTGCCATATACTGAAGCAGACGGGCAGGACAAACTGCCATTGCAACTCACACAACTCTGTGGCCCAGCCGCATCCGCCAGGTGGTGTCTATCTACGGGAGCTGCTTAGATGTAGAGCTGCAGCAGCGGGCTGTAGAATATAACACACTCTTCCGGAAGTATGACCACATGAGGTATGTCAAAACATCGGCTCCGGTGTGGGACCCAGATCCCTGCCCTCTCCCAAATACCCCCTTGTAGCCTCAAGGGTCTCATCCTCTCCTGTGTTGTTGTCCACTGCAAGAGCTTTCCACACAGTTCATTGAAGCAAGCTGCCTCCTAACCCTCCCTGCTCATCTGAAAACCAGCAACAGTATGCCATCTTATCAGAAGGACACTTCTGATCTACTATGTGCCCAGCATCTCCATGTTCTGAGCACTCTTTGTAGATGTCTCTTGTGAGAGGCAAAGGGTCTACCTAGAGAGACACCTACATTCCATCCTCTCAGGGCTGCCATCCTTGAGAAGATGCCTCTTGTGGAGCGAGGTGGCCCTCAGGTTGATGAGGAGGCAAAGGAAAGCAAAGAAGCAGTCCAGGTTTCAAAGGCAGCAGCCCCTGTCCCCACAGAGCCCCAGGTGAGGAGACTGGAAGCCTTGGGATGAGAAGGACTGGCTTGGGCTTCCATGCCAAGTTCTGACCCTTCTGCCCTTTCCCATGGGCCTCAAAGCTCTTGGACCTGTTAGATCTCCTGGATGACACTCCTGAGGATGCCCAGCATCCTCCCCCTCTGGATCCATCCCCAGGAGGTACCTTAGTACACCTCCTTGACCTTCCCTGTGCATTGCCACCTCCAGGTAAGCCTCAGGAAAGAGTCTAGTCTTAGAGAAGGTAGGTGAGAATGTGCCATCTCTGCTTCTGTGCTGAGTGAAGCTCATAAACCCTTTCCCTCCTGTGTGCCCGTATCCCATCCTCTTTTTCGTAGGTAAAAGGGTTCACTTAGTCATGCCAGTCCTCTCCTGGCTGCAGTGTCTTCTTTGTTCTAGACTTCTAGCCCTGGCCAGCAGGGCCCTGCTTCCTCCCCACCCCATCTCATCCCACTTCCCCACTGGCCCCCTCAAACCCTCCCATCTTAAGCCTTGGCATTTCATGCTCTTTTTACACAAAATGTTATTTCCTTGGCACATCAAGTGACTGGCTTGGTTGGGGAAGGCACTCCAGCCTGAAATGTCATATGCCTTTCCCTGCCACTCCCATTTAAATTAGTCCTTCCCAGTTACTCCGGCTAATTTATTTCCCTCATAGTACCCATTCCAGCCTAATTATCTTGCTTATTTTCTCTGTTATTGCTCCTCTCCCTGCACTATACTGTCAGTCGTCTACTTGTCAAGCATCTTGGGCAGTATAGGGATAAAAGGTGCTCACTGTTTTTTTTTGTTGTTGAATGAACGTGTTATCTCGAGCCTGCACACTGAGCTGCCTCTCTTTCCCTGCTATATAGCTCCCATTCCAAATCTCAAAGTGTTTGAGCGTGAGGGAGTACAGCTCAATCTGTCTTTCACTCGACCACCTGGATCCCCTGCTTTGCTTTTAGTAACCGTCACCACCACCAACTCCTCAGAGGGTGATGTCACCCACTTCATCTGCCAGGCAGCTGTGCCCAAGGTTTGTAAATACCAGGATTCAGAGGTGGCCTAGGTTCTCCAGGAAGGAGTAGAGGTGGGTGGGAGACAGGATGAGATGGGAAGGGAGTGACAGCAGAGACAGGTACCTGGGGAGTTAATGGGAAGAGGGTTTGGCACCACTGAGTGTGGAGGGGTTGCCTGAGCCCGGCCAGCTGCCTTACTGTGTTCTGCCCAAATCCCATGTTCAGAGTTTCCAGCTGCAGCTGCAGGCCCCCAGTGGGAACACAGTTCCAGCTTGGGGCGGCCTCCCCATCACCCAGCTCTTCAGAATCCTCAATCCTAACAAGGTCAGTTCCAGGGCCCCATGGGTAAGAAAGACCTAGGGAAGGGAGAAGTCACAGGCACTAACTCTGGTCTCCACTCTCCCATTTCTAGGCCCCCTTGCGGCTAAAGCTGCGCCTGACCTACAACCACTTGGGCCAATCGGTACAAGAGATCTTTGAGGTGAACAACTTGCCTGTGGAAACGTGGCAATAACTCTTCTCTGCCTGAAATCCTCCTGCATCCCAAAGCCTGTGATCCTAGCAGTGGGGAACCAACTCTGAGGGCTACCAGCAGATGGCACCCTGGTTCTGCATTAATCACTGCAAAACTGTGGGTCTGCTCCCCTCCCCCACAAATAATGGCAGCCAAATAAAGCCCGAGGGGGGCATAAAGCCATAATCTGGGTATGTTTGAGGTAGAAAAATATGTATAAATAACAGCAAGGGAAGAGGCTTCTCACATAGGCAGGGTCCCAAGAATCTTTCTGGGAACCTTGAGAATCAACCTCAAGCACACCAGGGTTTTCCTCTGCCCCTCAAGGTTAGGGAGCAAATTTGCCCCTAAGCTGTCACAGGAAGCACTCTACTCTCTGGGCCAGAGATGGACACAGTGGCAAAATCAAAGCAAGATCTGATTTCTAACAGGAATTCCCAACCACTTCCCCACCCTGCTATTCCCCACACCCCAAAGCAGGGAAATCCCTGCTGCCTCCCCTCATCTCTAACTCAGCTGTAAGGCGGTTTCGGAGCCGCTGGCAGAATCAATGGCATCGACCAAGGGAGGGGGGTGGCAAGGGATTTTCCTGTGCTTAACTACTGATCACGGCTAAGTGGAAATCCTATAAACACGAGCGGAAATCAATGGAGGCTGCTTAGCGGCCAGGGGAGAGGGGCGGCCCACAGATTGCATCTGACTGATGAGAGAGAGGAGGCAACCAGGGAGGGCTCAAGGAACGGGTTGTTGAGAATAGGACGAAAGAACAGGCAGAGGTATAGGGAGAGGAGGTGGGAGGGAAGAGGCACAGTGAGGCCAGTTGTGGCCCCTGCTGGACCAAGAGTTCCCTTTCTCTTCTAGGAAGTGACACCCCTAGCCCAGGCTGCTGTCGGGATGTTTAGTCCTCTGTGGAGCTGTTTACTTCTAGCAGGCGCCGATAGTCCTGAGGACGGAAATGCTGTAGGTACACGATGAGCTTGCCAGGTGCCCTCTCCTGTGCTGGCACACCTATAGACAAAGGATAGTGAGAAAAGAAGCAGACAGAACTGCCATACATGCTTTAACTTTCCTCCCTGACCACCCAGCCAGGACCCCCAAGTTGTTTTGAAGGTAGCACTGAGATTCTGATTGTCATCCAACTAGCTTCTGTAATCTACCCTCTACCTCCTGGACTCCAGAAGTGGGACCCAAGAGCCACTTCAGACTCAGGAAAGCTGGGAAGCCACACATGAGCCTCTTCTCCAACCAGGGGAAATGGTGAAGAAGCACCCAGGTGCCATGAAGACAGAGGATCCTTCAATATGGACTCACTCTAGTTATTACCCTTGTCCCCCAATCAAGATGAAAACCCATCTAGGCAGGCAAAAGCTCATTAGCTTGGTAATGAAGCACATACAGAGATTTACACATAGGAGAGAAACCAAAGGCTGTGGAAAGAAAAGGAAAAGAAGTTTTAGCTATGGGGTGGGATTCACATAGAATTCTCCCCTCTGGAGCTGGGGATATAGCTCAATACTGGAGTGCTTCCTTAGCATGCTCAAGGCCCTGGGTTCAATCTCCAGCAAACAAACTCCCTCCCTGTCCCCACCCCAAAAAGCAAGAATTCTCTCTAGAACTGCCACTGCCAGTTTCCATTGTTAGTACCCAGCAGCATACTGAGCATACAGCAGGAAACAGGATGTATAGTTGCTAAGGAGGCTGAAACAGCATCCCAGGGCTGTCAGACCCCATGGCGTGCACAACCCCAAACTAGTGGATGGGCTGTATACTAGGAAACTGAGCATGGGAACAGAAAACCAAATCTGAGCCAGACACAGTGGTGCATGCCTATAATCCCAGCAGCTCCAGAGGCTGAGGCAGAAGGATCACAAGTTCAAAGCCAGCTTCAGTGAGTTCAAAGCCAGCCTCAGCAACTTAGCGAGGCCCTAAGCAACTCAGTGAGACCCTGTCTCTAAATAAAATATTAAAAAAAAAAAAGAAACCAAATTTGCCAATGCTCTCCCAACCACCTCTCATAAATGCAATGTTCTTGCCTTTCACTAAAAGCCAAGACATTGAATTAAATGAACTCTAAGAAACCATAAAAACAAAAGGATATCTGATCCCCAGCATGGGCAAAAAAAAAAAAGATTAGGGGAAGGAAGGGTTAAAGCAGAGAACTGACAAATAGAACTGAAAGAAATTTGGCCAGAGGAATGAGAATTAAATGAGACAGAATGGCTGGGATGAAGAATAGAGATTTATGAAAGGCTTAAATCCAAATCAGACAGCAACTGTAAAAGAGAAAACTTGATAGAACTGTGGGCAAAACTGGGTCCTCTAAAAAATTGCTAAAATAATTACTGTTAAAGAAATAATCCAGAGACCCTCCCCCATTATATAGTCCAACTCCCACCAACTACTCTTGGTCACAGCCAGTGCTCCAGAAAAGGAAAGTGTGGCTTAGTGGTGAGTGCTTGCCTAACATAATTAGGAGGAGGCCCTAGGCTCAATCCCAGCATTGCAAAAAGATTAAAAAGCCAGGAAAGGAAAGTGGGGATCAGGAAAACACAGAAGGTCCTGTCCCCCTCACCTAGCATGCTGCTGAGGCTATTGATCTTCTTTAGAGCAGTTGGTACTTCAGCCTCCTTCTGTACCAGGGCCTCTACTTCACCCACAGCGTAGCCAAAGTCCGCTGTATCCAGGTCCACCTTAAGCATTGGCTCCTCTTCATTGACTCCAGGGAATACCAGCTTCCAGGAACTCCGTTTAGTCACAAAACTAGCTACTTCCTGCAGCCCTAGTGGACCCAGCACAGCAGCCACACTTCCATCCCCCAGACCCTTAGCTCCCAGCACCTCACAGAGCTGGGCCACAACTGCAGGTTCAGATGTAAGTTCCTTGTACTCGGTGTGGGGTCCTGAGATACCTGATGCTCCAGGGCATTTGAGCTCCCATCCACTACCCTCTCGGTGTCGCAGCCAGTGGTTAGACCGCATCAGGCTCAGCTCAGGGGTGTCATAGTAGGTGTCTCGGAAGGTGATCCGGTGCTCTAGGATGCCCCCCAACTCCTGCAGTCGTTCCTCTATGCCAGGCCCTGGAATGAACTTTCGCTCCACCTCAATCAAGCCCTGGGCCATGCTATCTGCAAGGATCATTTGCAACAAACATTTTCTTAGCGCCCAAAGGTGTTCAGCGTGCTGGGCAACGGCTAAGCAGAGACTCTAACTCTGGATGAATTTACTGAGACGCATACAGACTTGCAGATCTTTGCCTCAGCGATACAGGGCTCTGTCTGCGAGATTTTAAACGTTCTCCTACAGTGATTGGTCTCCAGTTAAATCCATTCCACTATTGATGACGTTCTCAACCCAAAGATGTCCCTAGAAAGCAGGTCATGCAACAAATTTCGTCTCAACACCCCACACTACAACTTGCTACCCCAGGAGACCAGGAGCTGCTACCTGGGATGACCTGCCATTCGCAGCCACAGCACCCGCCGGCTTTGCCTCGGGTCTCACCTCAAACCCAAGGGTCTCCCTCTCGCAGGACCAGAAGATGGGGGAGAAGGAGTCCACGCCACACCCGCGAGGAATGCCGGGAGGAGTCCCAGGTCTCGGATCTCAGCCCAGCTCAACTGCGTGACAGGAGAGTACGAGCACCAGCGGCCATTTTAGGCCCATGGTAGTAGTGCCGAGGGCAGACCGGCCCGAGAGACCTGTTAGGTTAAGGGCGATCGCGACTTCCGTTAGGGCAGAGGAGCGAGACCGTCCCCAGGCACCCTGCAGCGTAACCCCTATGCCTCCTGGCGTCCGGGGGGTCGACAGGGGTCCCAGGCCTCTGGTTGAGCGTGGCTTCCTGAGCCCGGTGGATGATGGGAGATGTAGTTCGGAAAAGGGGGGATCTTCGCCATTTCGCCCCACCCATTGCTATGGTGACCTGAAAGCTGCAATTAGTGCTCTGGGGACTTACCTAAAGCTGAACTGAGGTTGCAGCTCTGTGGGGAGAGTCGTGGGCAACGAACTTGAGACTGCACTCTCCAACCCCTCCCGATCTAGGCAGTGGGCCTGAAACACAAGTCACTCACTCAGACGCTGTCTGGCACATATTTAAAACTATTATGGTGGCCTATTTACTGCAGGCCAGTGGCAATGGGCTGGGAAGAAGGAAAGGCAATTAAGTCCAATGTAGGAGTTTTGGAGGGGATCAAACACATTCTGGTAAGAATGTTAAGAGTACGAGTGAGCAAAAGACTTTCTGTTAGAGGAGAAAGTGAAATTTTGAATGAACTACAGATGTGGGATTTCAACAGGTAAAACCTAGGTGGAGACCTAACATGAGCAAAGACCCAGATACTGAAAAGTACCTAGCCTGTATGAGAATAAAGATGGGGCTGGAAATACAATTGAGGGGCAAGTTGGAAAAGCCCTTGAGTGAGTGCCAGACTGACGAGTCTGTCAATTCCAGCAGATCTTGAGCAAGTTTTGTTAGGAGTAGGAAAAATAATTCAATGTTCATTTAAAATACAAGACATATGGAAGAGAAATGACCCTCTGGCTGCTTTAGAAGACTCTTTAGAGAAAATGCCTCCTTACTCCCTCTGAGAGTTTATATTATCTATAAACTTTGTATCTTACTCTCTGGGTGAGGATATTGTCAACTCCTAGGCTTGCTTCTGAAATTAGTGAAAAAAGTGCCAGGTTCTCCACACCAGTCTATCCCTTGTATGTGTCTGGAAACAAAAGTGAAGTAAAACGGTGGCAAAACTTAGGATGTCTTGGATGTATCCTTACTCCTACCCCATGTCAAGCACCACTGGACTAGTAGGGCCTGCATTTCCTTCATCCTTTGCAGTCCCCCCCTCCCCCAAAGTTTTGTTGACCCAGGAAGAAGTCCTAGTATTTTTATGTTTAATGTCCACCCCAATGGGGTAGAGGCAGCAGCTTAATGGAATGGAAAGCCTAGATTTCAGCGACAGACCTGGGGTTGACTGAGTTTCACTTTCTAGATGGTTGGCCTTGGACAGGCTACTGTACCTAAGACTCAGCTTTTTTATTGATAAATTGTGAACTGCCTCACAATTATATGAGGATTCAGTAACAAACTGTCATTTGGTAGAAACCCAGAACTTCAGGAGGTTTTACTTTGTTGTTGTTGTTATTTAAAACTAGGTTTTAGCATCCAGTGTGATCTCTGGAACAAGACTACTGAGGTTTAACTCTGAGGCCGTTGCTTTTTGACCATGCAACCGTGGGCTGGTTTAATCGTGCCTTAATTTTGTCACCTGTAAAAGGAATTAAAGTATCTGACTTATACAGTTGTACTAAATAAACTAATATATGTGAAAGTGATTGGAACTGTCCCTATATACTCAATAAATGTTATAAATTATTGTTACTACAATATAGTGGGCTGATGAGCAGATAAAACCGAAACTCCCCTCTCCAATTCAAAGGACTGTGTGACCGCAGGGAGGAAGCAGAAACTCAGAGACTTCAGAGTAATTGCTGAGAGAAGGTTTTCAATCGGAAAGAAGGGGAGATAAGGAAGCAAGAAGAAGGGAGTGAAAAAGAAAGACTTCCGGGCAGCTCTGGCAAGCTGGTAAACGCCAGAGCTTGTTCTAGAGCTGATCTGAAACAAAACAACAAAACGCATGCATGTTTTCTGTAGGCAAAAGGAAGAGGACAGGACGGGAAAGAGTTTAGGGACATGCCCTCTTGCAGGCACCGGGAGGACCTGGCGTCAGAGTCAAGGAGGCGACAGGATAGACTCGCTGGCCCCATGGAGCCCGCCCCTGGGCAGGGTAGGGTTCCAGCGTCTAAGGAGGAGTGCGGACACTGCGCTTGCGGGTTGGAGGGCGGAGGCGACGGACTACAAGTCCCGGCATGCGCCGCGGCGGGCGGGCCGCTGCACCTGCTCAGTGGGGCCGCCCCGGGCGCCTGGGTATTGATTATTCCATTGTGTGGGACGCTTCGGCTCCAGCCAGTGAATGAGGCGGAGGAGTGAGGGCGAGGAGGAGGAGGAGGGCGAGGA